CAACCTCAAAGCCCCAGATGCCTTGGGTAGGGAACATCGCTTCGGAGTACGCATGCTGCCGATGAGGCCCAGCTCCTGAGGGTCGGGGTATCTTGCCCGGGGCCGCAGCAGGACGTCTTTTGGGTTTAAGGGCTCGGAGTGTGGAGTGTGAGGTTTGGGGGTTTAGGGTCCAACGATTAGGTTGAGAGGCAGCCAGAGGCGAAGGCAAAGAGGCAAAGGCAGAGATGGGCAGGACAGGAGACAGAAAGCGCCGGAATGGACAAGATTGCGCAACAAGAACTGAGAAATAGACGTAGGGAAAGCTTGCCGGAGAACTTGTGGGAGAGCTTGAAGGCACAAGACCTCTGATGTATTCGGTGGGGCTGGGTCACATTTTCGGATGCAGCAACACTGTCGTTTACATCGTCTTTTGCATCGTCGTCGTTGTCGTCGTCGCTGCCGTCATCGTCGCCCACAACGATATCTGCGTATGTCGTCGTCTCGTACTCGTGGTCGTGGTCGGGGTCGCGGCCGCGGTCACAGCACACGCCGCAGCAGCAGCAGCAACAGCAGCCTCCGTAGTCGTTGTCGTTGTCGTCAGCCGTAAGTCGTAGCCGTAGTCGAGTCGTAGTCCTAGCAGTACATGTAGAAGCAGCAGAGGCAATAGCAGAGGCCGCGCCAGAATAGCAGGAGTGAAATGGTATTGCCACCAGCAGCATCTACAGACTTCAAATAATACATTTGCGAGGCCTATACAAACTACTGTATAGTAAACTGTACATTAGCACTGATACCAGCAATGGTCGTGTTACTAACACCACGTTTCAGTCGCCCCAGCCGGTGTAAAGTCGCCACAAGCTCTGCCGTACACGGCATGGGAGTGAAGTCAATCCAGGCGGGGTGATGTCAGCCCAACAACAGTGAAACTTCAGCCATTCCGCAAGGGCACACGCATGTTTAGAGTGTTCATGGCGCAGATCAAAAAATGTCGCATGCCTTTAGCACGGTGGGGTCCTCATAATAAAAAATGAGTGGCCAACATACACGTGAGTATATGCGAAAACCCAGTGTGGATGTCATCAAGGTTAGGCCATGGATGATCTTTTCTCGGAACATGGACGTCGTTATGCTTGGGGGTGGGGGCCCCCGGTGGGGAGGAAACAACCTAACCTAGGACTAACCTAAACCCCAAGCCCAGCTTCCCCTGATTAGGGGACCTATAATAAAACTAAACGCTGGGCCCTAAACCCTACGTGCCCGCCGACCCCTGTCTTGGGGAGCAAGGCACCCTAAAC